AATTTTCATGGTAAGCGAAATACTACCATTCTAAAAGATCTTATAATACACGAAAACTAGTTTGTAAACAGCATACTGTCTCAGTAGCTGCAGTATCTTTTGCATATCACATGTTACAATGACCTGGACATAAAAGTAATTTAGCACCCTGGGGTAAGAGAGGCAGGAGATGGGTATAGGACATAAGGAACATTTGAGGAACGGTATGAGGAAAGTTCATATTGCAGGAAAGCTGGCAAGGGACGAGTTTCTCACGTGGACTGTAGTGCAAACATTTTCTGCAGACCCAATAAATGATATATATATATATATATATATATATATATATATATATATATATATATATATATATATATATATATATATATATAAATATATATATAGGTGTGTATTGTTATACATATACTAAGATCAAAATATATAAAACAATGATAAGACCAGTCGCTTTATGTGGCTCTGAAACTTAGAGCACAACTAAAAGAGATAAAGCCTAATTACAGGTTTTCAAAAAACAGTCTTACGACGAATCTTTGGACCCATTAAAGATGCAGACAGTGAGAAGCGGAGATTGAAAAACAACAACGAAATTCATAATCTGTTTAAATCACCATTGATAACTGGCATCATGAGAGCTAATATACTAACATGGTTAGGGCATAATGATAGAATGTCATATGACAGAGAAGTAAAAACTGTATACACAAGAAAGATGAATGTTCGTATACCACGATAGAGAGATAAAGTCCAGTCAGACCTGCAAACACTTTGTGTCAACAACTGGTAAGAGAAGGCCAAACCAGAGAGATGAATGGAGGCGGATAATATCTGCAGCAATGAACCTGAGGGGCTCAGAATGCCGAAGAAGATATATATATATATATATATATATATATATATATATATATATATATATATATATATATATATATAAATAATTATATATAAATAACCTTTTGACATGAAATGCTATAGAACAATTCTGAGAATACCATGTACATAGAATATAGAAATACGGACATTCTAAAAGATCTGAACATCAAGGAAGATTGGCTAATAAACAGCATCTTGTCTCTAAAATATTTTTGTCATATCAAATGTTATGGCGGATAGGAACATATATTAGCAGAAGGCATGGTACCAGGGAGGAGGGGCAGGGGCCGACCAGCACGAATTTGGGCACAGGATAAAAATGACTCCTTGAATATAAAAGTACACGAGGCTAGGAGAGCTGGAGTGGGAAGGAGTTTCTTTCGGGCACACTGTTATGACAGCGACGTTCTGCAAAGGAACATGATATATATATATATATATATATATATATATATATATATATATATATATATATATATATATATATATATACAGTAGAACCTCGCTTAACGAGCACCTCTCATAACGATTAATTCGCATAACGAGCAAAAAATTTTTTAAAAGAATGACTCGCTTAACGAGCGACGTTTCGCATAACGAGTGGCGAGGAGAGGGGAAGTCCCGGATTTTGAGCATGTTACATCAGTCTGTGTCTAGCACTCGTTCCAGGTAGCATTGTCGCTTGTGATCACAAATTTTCTCAAACTTGTGTTATATTGTGATATACATATCCTCCAGGCCTACAAGATGACCTCCCTGATAAATTTAAGTTAATCAAGATCCAGTTTCTGCCTCCCAACACCACTCCGTTACTCCAGCCAATGGACCAGCAAATTATTTATAACTTTAAGAAGCTCTACACCAAAGCAGTCTTCGAGCATTGTTTTCAGGTGACTGAAGGGACCAACCTCACTCTCAGAGAGGTTTGGAAAAATCACTTCCACATCGTTGCCTGCCTCAAGATGAACGACACGGCGGGGGAAGGGGTTACCAAGAGAACCCTAACTTCTTCGTGGAGGAAGCTTTGGCTGGAGAGTGTTGTCGATTTGTGACTTTGAGGGGTTCGAGGCAGTTCCTGTGGAACCTGTAGTCAACGAGAATGTGTCTTTGGCCACTATCATGGGATTGTAGGTGGATAACAGTAATATCGAAGATCTTGTGGAAGAGCACAGACGAGCTGACCACCGAATAGCTTATGGAGTTGCATTGTGTTTCACAGCCTAATAAGGAAGTGGCTAGGCGCGCTGCAAATTTAATAATTATGCTGTATCGAATTTTCGCCAAATTTTGAAGCATCGACAAAAACAAATGTCTCTGGACATCTTTCTAGTAAAAAAATAATTAGCTATATATACTAATTATTTCGACTTTTTATCTGATAATCGAATTCGCATTCCATGTGGGTTTGTTCCGCGTTTGAAGAAAAGATGAAGATGATCCACTCTCCTTAAATATGTATATAATTTTCTTTGAATAAATGTTATAGTATAACTTATACATAGCATTTTGACAGTATTTTTTTTTTTTTTTTGACATGGAACGCATTATCGTATTTTACATTAATTATTATGAGAAAAATTGCTTCGCATAACGAGTGGATTGGCTGGCTGGATTGGCTTTTTACCCCACCAGGACATCACACAAGCGATAAACACCCGATGACACAAAGTGCCACCATGCGGATGAGGATCACCGTGGAGAGGTCCCAGAAACCGCGTTCAGACATTTGGCCATAATGATGACCTGCCTATATTGCGGCCCCTGGCAAAAGCCAGAGTGGGGCTTCAAATAACAAAAAATAACGTCCTAAGAAGGACGTAAGAAGAAGAAGAAGTAACATAACGAGTATTTAGCTTAACGACTATAATTCTGGAAGGAATTAAGCGAGGTTCCACTGTATATATATATATATATATATATATATATATATATATATATATATATATATATATATATATATATATATATATATATATATATATATATATTTATATATATCCCACCCTCTCTCGCCCACACATACAACCATAGACAAATATGGAGACGAAATGTTAGTCACCCAATTACTGCCTTTATGCACCACTTGTGCGGTGCAGGCAGGGCGGGTCTTTTGAGCCTAAGGATTCACGGCGGCGTGGCTAGTGCTGTCGCCACGACTGTGCAGGTGAGGGTTTTATTCTGCCCCCGACAGAAATAATCCCCTGGCTTACAGCGAATTCAAACCCGGTTTCCCCTGGATGAGAACCCACCGTTTTAGCCGTTCGGCCAGCTGTTCCTCTGGTCAGTCATCCGATTAGTGAAAAAAACTAAAAAACTAAATGGAAGCTGTGGAGATGTATTTTTGTAGACGAATAATGAGAGCATCGCGGGCAGAAAGGGTTAATACTTATGAGTTCTTGAAAGAAATTAACCTACGGGGAGAACGATTACCCATATTAGACTGTTTCTGTAGACAGATCAAGAGAAAGAGAAAGTTGGATTATATCGCGTCGGCAAGAGGGACAGAGGGAGACTGAGAGAAGTGTTGATAGGAGTGGTATCGATGTATGGCATTCCACCTCGGTTCTGGAGGTCCAGGGTTCAAGACTCAGTGAAGGCTAGGATTTATTCACGTGGACTTCTAAAAATTGTCCCTGGTCTCATGGTATTAAGATCGGACGCCCGTCTGTGATGTTGCGTACGTAAACAATCCCTTGGCAGTTGGAAATCGAAAAAAGTAACCTAACGGCGATGCCCGGGCGGTATTTTAAGATCCTCGTCGATGCAACGGAGTTCGCACACTGCGCTGAAATTCTTCGGACTCAAGTCTTGAATTAGAAGTAGAATGGATCACTTATGGGTTGCACCCGTGAGCCATGATGAACATAAAAATGAACAGTGTGACACTTAGTTGAGCGGAGTTGATTCAAGAACAGACATCACACCACTCGGGGCATTCCAGCAAGTACTCCATCCAAATCTTCAGCAGCCAGAGCAGCTTTCAAATACCGATGGTGCCAGTAGCATTCTCATTATATGTCCGTCTTGGCTTTCTTTCGAGCCTCGAGCATCGGCCAGATCCCTTCGTCACTTCCCCCTGCATCACTCACCAGACTGTGGTAGTCCATTTGCTCCTCGGAATTGTACACGTTCTCCCACGAGGCCCTAACCACGTCTACCTTATCATGCATTAGTATTCCACCTAGTTGTGCAAAGTCAGCCAGTCTGCCCTCCTGTTCATTTCCCAATACACCGTCGTGACCGGGGAAAGGATCCAGACACTGCTCCTCAACCGTGAAATCCGTAGCGAAGCATGGCACTCTACATAAAGCATGCCTGCACTCATCACCTTCCTGAGCATTCTTCCTGAGTTAGTTGCAATCACGATGCGTGCGCGTGCGTGTGTGTCGGTGTGTGTGTGTGTGTGTGTGTGTGTGTGTGTGTGTGTTGTGTGTTCTCTAACCAGCGGAAAGCTGCAGTGACCGCCTCTACCCTAAAATCTTAAGCTAGATGTCGTGGTATCACATGCAGGGCGTTCATGCACCCAACGTTGCATTATTATGGCACGGAAAACATGATTTATTCTATACAAGACATAAGGCGGTGGACAGGCTACCAACTCTAGAAGGTATGGATCTGACAAAGTATATATGTGAATGTATATACGTATACACACATATATTATACATACACACATATATAAACATATATGTGATGTATTATCATCATCACCATCGTCGTCCCGTAGCAATACGTGTCGTTGGGTCACCCGTTGCTATTGACTGTCTGATCGACCCCTCCACCTTCGGCGGTCAGTTGCGATGGACTTCACGGTTACAAGCTTGAGGCCTGTCAAGTTCTCTATGGTGGTCTTTCTGGATCTAAATCTTCTCCCTTTCCCCTCTACTGAGTCATGTGGTATTGTTTTTGAGACCCAGTTAGATCTTATTGCAAATCCGTACCAGTTAAAAGAGTTTGATAGCTGCCAGTGTGGAAATGCCAGTACCACATAATATGTGTGTGTAATTATGTGTTTATGTATGTGCGTATGTGCGTATGTGCGTATGTGCGTATGTGCGTATGTGCGTATGTGCGGATGCTATCTCTGAAGGAAATACATTCGACAGTAACGAAATATAAGACGTTATTACCTCGAACAGAAGCGGCTCCTGATGTCTGTATCTCACAAAATAGTTGGTCAAAGAACACCAAGTCTCAAGTTTATGACTGAAAGATACATCTCTCTCATTTGTTATCTCACAACTCTAATAAATAATTTAAAAAAAGATTATATCTATATCATCTACACAAAGCAGACTTGCTACAGCCGACTTGAGCATACTCTACTGTCTTTGGCAACACTACAATCTGTCTGACAGTCTATTTGACGTGTCTGTTTCAGTGGGAAAGTATGAGGGGAAGAGAGGCAGAGGAAGACCAAGAGAGCACATAATGGACAGTCTGACATCATGACATGGTACGTCATCTGCGTCAAAGTTGACTGAAAGTACACGAGATAGAAGGTTGTGGATAGACGTGATTACCAACGCCACGCGTCTTTGATAAAAAGAAAAATAAAGAAAGAGGTGTTCTGATTCTGAGGAATGAAGGCAGCGTCGTTAGCGGGCTCGCCAAGAACTGTGCAGTTTAGGATAGTTCAAAATATGTAGACAGGATTTATTACAATTTTCTATGAATAATTAGTAATATGCAGCGAGACATCAGAAAGAACTAAAGGGATTGATAGATATGGTGGTGGAAAAAAAAAAGAAAAAAACTGGGCTTCAGTTTGATTAATGGGAAGACAGAAGCAATGGTAATAGCAAAGAAAAGAACAATGCTTTAATCTGTAATAAAAGTCAAAGGCTTTGTTGTAGGACAAGCACGGAAATGGAAGTATCTAGGCACACTGTTAGCATCCGACCGAAGCTGTACTGCAGAGATAAACAACAGAATGAGACAGATTAGAGCGGTATTTTATAAATAAAGAACATTTTATGCAAGGGAATTAGGAAAAACACAAATTCTCGAAAACTATATGGAGCCAGTTTTAACATACGGCTGTGCGTACTGGGCAATTAATCAACAAGCCGAACAATTTCTGGAGGCATCGGAGATGTGGTTTCACAGAACATTCTTTAAAATTGCTTGGAGATAAACAAAAAGAGCAACCCGGGTGCTCGAGAGAGGCGAGTGCTCAAAGACAACTCATCTCAAACATCAGAAAGAGACAGGCATTATTGTTTGGTCATGTTATGAGAGAAAGAAAAATGGAACATTCTGTGACCACTGGATAGACCTGGGGGAGGAGAGAGGCACAGAAAGACAACGTGAGACTATTTTTGAAAGCCTTTTGTCATGACATGGAAAGGTGTCAACACACGCAGTTTCAGATCGAAGCATGATCACCAACACCAGTCGACACGGCAGTAGATGATGATGATGATGATTAAAAAGTAGCATGAGTGTATTGATAATCTGAGCACATGTCAGCATTTTTAACCAATATTTTGTTATTGTTGATTACGTTTAAGTGTTAAAGGTGTATAATCTCTCCACAGGTGATCCTCATCTGAATGGAGGCACTTTGTGTCACCGGGTCTTTATCGCTCAGTGTGATGTAATTGTGGGGTAAAAAATCAGTCAGACAGGTGGATACAGGATATAATGTATGGAAGGTGAGGTCAGAAGGACAGAATCGCAGACTGGTTTAAGTACCCAGTACTCAACCCTTTGAAATGATTGTTAGCTCTTTTGGTCTATCTCGGTTTTATTCTGTGCAAGTCTGACTGACAATCTATATGAAATGATCCGAACCCACTCAGTCAGCTCCAGAAGCTTTTTTTTTTCAAATTTCTTTTTCTCTTGAAGTTCAAAAAAGAGAAACGTTTACTTGTATATCTAAACGATATTCATGCAATCATCAGATAATAATAATTAAAAAAATATGTAAAATCAAAACTACGAAACTAAATCATATAAATAAAAACTGCATTGTTGACATGGGAAACAAATAAGCTGAGAGAATGAGAGTGAAAGTCAAAGAAAAACCATGCGATGATTGTTTATGAAAGGGAACACAGTTGATTGGCTGGATTATATATGCAATATTGAAAAGACAGCACAAAACAGAACGGAATAATTAGACTACAAGCTGTATGTGAAGTGTGAAGGTGCACGTGGATGATAAGGAGGAGTCAGTAATTAACTTTAATTTGGGGGGGGGGGGGGGGGGGGTTGGGAAAAGTGGACTGAAGATACCACAGCATCAAAGAGAAAAACCTCAACGAAGGTTGATAAAAGAGGGCAAATATGCCAGACTGAATTCGGAGAATGATATCGACATCAATTACTCGGACAGCAGAAAGAGGAGGAGAAGAAGAAAAATAAGAGAAAGAAGAATATAAAGATGCAGAGAGGCAGCAGCAGCTGCAGTAGCATAATAATAATAATAATAATAATAATAATAATAATAATAATAATAATAATAATAATAGGACAAAGAAGAAGAAGAAGACAAGAAGAAGAAGAAGAAGAAGAAGAAGAAGAAGAAGAAGAAGAAGAAGAAGAAGAAGAAGAAGAAGAAGAAGAAGAAGAAGAAGAAGAAGAAGAAGAAGAAGAAGAAGAAAAAGAAGAAGAAGAAGAAAAAGAAAAAGAAGAAGAAGCAGAAGAAAAAAAAAGAAGAAAGAAGAAGAGACAACACCAGTAATAGCAGCAGAAGCAGTACGGAATCGAGGAATCTGAGATCTATGTGAAATTACATACTTGGACAGGATGATGATGATGCCGATGAGGATGCGATTATGATCGTGATGACGATGACGATGATGACGATGATGATGATGCGAAAGTAACAAACAAACAAAAACACACATTACCTAATGATGTCATCATCACTAGCCGGTTCCGTTAAGTTTTTCACGTGGAAGTCATGTACTAGATGTATGTAGCTAAGTACTTTCTCCTAAAGACATAACAAATACAAATTGACACTTTTCTCCCATTTTGAAGGTCTTTAGGCTCGTAAGAGTGCGGATATACATAACCGGCCTGGTCTTGCAGGTCAACCCAGTGTAAAATATGTAGCAGACAATATGCTGGGAAGTAAAGGCGGCTGGTTAGATTTTACTATCGATTTTTACCATCTTTGATTTTACCCATTGAGCTCTAGGTCGGTCAGTAAAAATCTAAATTGAACGCCTGCTGCCCCGTGCCTAGATCGTATACACCAGTGGCTTCCAACCTTTCTATTGCCGCGACCCTTTAATACAGTTCCCTTATGTTGTGGTGACCCCCCCCCCCCCTCTCCCCCCTCCCCAAACAATTGTTTTCCTTTATATCATCAATGAATATGCTTTTTTCTGATGGCGACCATTGTGTAAGGGTTGTTCGACTCACAAAAGGGTCCCGACCCGCAGGTTGAGAACCGCTGGTGGACGTGGTCCATATAGTACACAGTTAATCTAACTACTCAGCTGAGTAACAGGCTCCCTTCTTCTTCTTCTCCTCCTCTTCCGCCTTGTACCTCAGCGAAGTGTCGAGGGGAAGATGTAACATTCGTTGATGAGCTTTGTCAAGAGCAGTATTAAGACTGATGTTCATTTCTGTAAGGCTGTTCTTAATGCTATCACTCCATATTTTTCGAGGTCTTCCGCTGACTCTATACATGTTGTAACGTTTTAGTGTGGCTCTCTGTGGTAGATAGTATCAGGGCATTCTTGTTAGGTGTCCAAACCACTTAATGCGTTTTTCTTTACAGACCTGTAAGACTGGCGTTATTCCTATCATTCTTCTGATTTCGTGATAATCAGGCTCCCAGTGAACTGAATATTTCCTCTATACCAGCAGCGTTTTATGTTGAGATATTCAGACACTATCAGGGATTTGGTTTGCTTTGGACTGGCGAAGTTCCTTATGCAGTAATATTGCATTGTGCAGCACGCTTTTCGTGAATGACTTCTTCTATCAACAAAAATATCAATTTTGGTGCCGACTGTTAGTAATGGCACAGGCAGCTATTTGCGTTTACTGCGTATGCATATTTCTGGAATATGTCACGACTAATTGTTTCCTAACTAGTTTGTAAATGGAACAGTTAATGACATTTTCTCGTGCCTTTCAGTGGCACCGGAGCAGGAGGTTTTGCGAATTATGAAGATTCGTCTGCATTGAAGTTGAAATCTCGACAATAGAGGGAGAACTGTGAAGGGAGATAGCGGTGCTTTTGCCTTGACTACAAGAAATATAACTATGGTGGTGATGGGGGTAATAAAAGCAATGACCTGGCTAAAAACTCACTTTTTTTTAAATAAAATGTTTTGCGTGATTTCTAACATTCTATGAATGTTTTTAAGAAAACTGAGACAGGATGGGTTTGAAGACAATTGTTGTAATCCCTGGCGAAATCTTACCCTACAAGAATCAGTTTCGATTTTGCGTGTGTGCCAGGATACTCTAGTGTAAGAGCGAATGAGAGAGCTGACTGGCTTGCTGACAGGGTTACGGAAAGCAAGAGAAAAGCAATGCATGGTCCGATGTTCACAACGCTCTCAATGAGACAGGGCGAGTAGATTATTCAGAAGAAGAGGATGAATCGGCAACCTTGAAAAAAGTGCAGGAACTTCGTGTCAAATGAGGTGTGGCAAGATATAACACAATAAAGAATAGTTAACCAAAAGAGCCCTCGCGCCATCAGTTGCCACACGCTGACATACTGAAGATGGGATTCGAGCGTTTATGGATTTGTCCGATGTGTAATGAAGATAATCGGTCGATTAAACAGCTAACTTAACTAACTCGACCAGTCAGCAAGTCCTTTATATAGCGTCAAATTCTTCACGGCAAGCCTAAAAGTCGCTCATTCTCTAGCCAATTCTCCAGCCCTATGTGCTTTCATAACCAATCCGTCTTAATGTTCCTGTATCCACTTTCACGGAGGTCGGCATGTACATAGTTCTGCTTGCATTTAGAGTTCCGAGGGATGTATAATGTGGTAGCCTCCGTTGCTTTCCACTTCGACATCGCTCAGCATCTCAACCTTCAACTATCGCTAACATTACCACGGTAACCGACTACCCAACTCACTGACGCTATTTCTAGCTTAGCAGATAGCAGCGCAGGGGTGTCTGCTTATCCCGGCGGACACTCGGTCTACAAGACTGTTCGACCCAGGAGCGTTTCTATCCTCAATTTTCCTCTAACCAAGATGATGCAGAACTGACACTAAAGGTAGGGGACAAATAACACGTAAGGAAAACAAGTAATCAAAAAGGTTGAGGATTTGTGTAGCTACTAAATCACAGAGCCTCACAATACTCACCATAACAGGTATGTTATAGTCGTAGATGTTGAGTATGCGAGCCACTGAAGCCAAATACAGGTCGACATTGCTGTAAGTCAGATGGTATGTGTCCTGGCTGAGAAGAGCGTCAATGATGGTTTCAACAAGTCGCAAAACCTTTCTCGATTCAGCGGGATCCGGGGCGGTACTGGTGTCAACCTGTGAAGTGTCCAGAGATCTGAATAAATATTTATACCTCGCACATCCACCTCGTGCTTGGACTTGGGAAGAGAAACTGTAATACAGTCACTAGTAATTTGGTACCGTGACAGAATAGGCAAGGAAGCAACAATGTGCATACAAAAAAGCTAGACGTGTAAAATGGATGTGCACACAACACTCAGGTTCTGGAACAAGAGTGGAGGGAGGACGAACTAGCAGAACTTTTCCTTCACAGACCGTGAACGTGAAGAAAAAAGAAGACAATGAAGAAGAAAAATAATAATAATAATACTAGTAATAATGATAATAAGAATAAGAATAAGAATAAGAATATTCATAATAATAAGAAGAAAAAGAAAAAAGAAGAAGAAGAAGAAGAAGAAGAAGAAGAAGAAGAAGAAGAAGAAGAAGAAGAAGAAGAAGAAGAAGAAGAAGAAGAAGAAGAAGAAGAAGAAGAAGAAGAAGAAGAAAGAAGAAGAAGAAGAAGAAGAAAACGAAGAAGAAGAAGAAGAAGAAGAAGAAGAAGAAGAAGAAGAAGAAGAAGAAGAAGAAGAAGAAGAAGAAGAAGAAGAAGAAGAAGAAGAAGAAGAAGAAGAAGAAGAAGAAGAAGAAGAAGAAGAAGAAAAAAGAAGAAGAAGAAGACGAAGACGACGACGAAGAAGAGACTAAAGACTGTCTTTGCACTGGAACCCACAAGGGCATATAAATAAAAGAAGACACCCCCTCACCCCCCCCCCCAACACACACACACACACGGAAGAGGGAGCTAGATAGCAAAATTATGAAAGATAGGGAAAGCTGCATGTGACGGTGAAGGAGAGAACCACTTGGCGTTAGTTGTCTGAGGGCCTATGCTCCACTGGGGGTTAGAATACAGAAGAAGAAACAGAACCAGTCGAAGCATCTGTTGGCTGTTTGGTTTTTCTAGGCAATTTTTTACGTACAACTGTTTGCCATTGCGCCTACACGGTCAGCGCTTCATTCTATTGTAAAAATCAACCTATCAGTACAAACACTTTCCAGGGGAACGTCTAAACTTCAAACACGGTCAGCCAAATAAATGGAAGGGGACGCTTAGCCAAGCTGAGATGTCTCTAGGTAAAGGATGTGTGAGTTTGTGTTTGATGGTTTGAACAACGGATCAACATCATGGCAGAAGAGTAGTAGCCCATTAGTGCTCCGTTCTACTTCTAACTCAAGCCTGAGTCCAAAGAATCTCAATACAATGCGCGAACTCCGTAGCACCGGCGAGGATCCTGAACTTCTTTGGGCAGATTTTGTACTCCAAATTTTGCCCGGGCAGCGCCGTTAGGCTACTCTTTTCGATTTTCAACTGCAAAGGGATTGTTTTACGTGCACAACAATACATACGGGCGTCTGATTTTACCACACAGAGACTAGGGGAAATTACTAGAAGTTTGAGTTAAAAAAAAAAAAAAATCCCAAGCTTCACCAGGGCCTGAACCTAGTACCCCGAGAACTTGATCCGGACGCCATGCCCCCAGACCACTCAGTCTCTGTGAGTGTGTGTGACTGTGTGTGAGTATTTATCGGGGTGTTCATTCCCACCCTTCTTAACGTTGGGGTGACAGGGGGTAGAGCTCCTTTAGTTTGCCTAATTACTGATTGGCTGGCTGGTTGCCTGGCTACTTGGTGGTCTGGTTTAGAGGGTTGGCCAGATGGTTGATCGATATGTTACTTAGCTATCTGTTGGACTGCATATATATTGGTTGGCTGGCGGCTATCATGATGTTCCGCATGGCTGGGGCCCTATGCTCTACAGAGTTATAGAAAGCAGGAAAAGAAATCATAAGGCGAGTCCATTATACTTACGTGTTGACACTCGATGTGTAAGAGGTATAAAAGCCAACCAAACAACTAACCGGCAAACCGCTAGTCTACTAAACAGCCAACATGATACACCAGCCAACAAGATATACCAGCCGCCATGATACAAAAGCCAACACGATAAACAAGCCTCCGTGATACACCAGCCAACATGATAAACCATCTAACATGATAAACTAGCCAACATGATAAACCAGTCAACATGATACACTAGCCAACATGATAAACCAGCCAACATGATACACCAGCCAACATGATAAACCAGTCAACATGCTAAACCATCTAACATGATAAACCAGCCAACATGATAAACCAGTCAACATGATACACTAGCCAACATGATAAACCAGCCAACATGATACACAAGCCAACATGATAAACCAGCCACCGTGATACACCAGCCAACATGATAAACCATCTAACATGATAAACCAGCCAACATGATAAACCATCTAACATGATAAACCAGCCAACATGATAAATCAGTCAACATGATACACTAGCCAACATGATAAACCAGCCAACATGATACACCAGCAAACATGATAAACCAGCCAAAATGATAAACCAGCCACCGTGATACACCAGCCAACATGATAAACCAGCCAAAATGATAAACCAGCCAACATGATACACCAGCCAACATGATAAACCAGCCAACATGATAAACCAGCCAACATGATAAACCATCTAACATGATAAACCATCTAACATGATAAACCAGCCAACATGATACACCAGCCAACATGATACACCAGCCAACATGATACACCAGCCAACATGATACACCAGCAAACATGATACACCAGCCAACATGATAAACCAGCCAACATGATAAACCAGAAAACATTAAACAACAGCCAACATGATAAACCAGCCAACATGATAAACCAGTCAACATGATACACCAGCCAACATGATACACCAGCCAACATGATAAACCAGCCAACATGATAAACCAGCCAACATGATAAACCAGCCAACAAGATAAACCAGCCAACATGATACACCAGCCAACATGATGAACCAGCCAACATGATAGACCAGCCAACATGATAAACCAGCCAACATGATAAACCAGCCAACATGATAAACCAGAAAACATAAAACAACAGCCAACATGATAAACCAGCCAACATGATGAACCAGCCAACATGATGAACCAGCCAACATGATAAACCAGCCAACATGATAAACCAGCCAACATGATAGACCAGCCAACATGATAAACCAGCCAACATGATAAACCAGCCAACATGATAAACCAGAAAACATAAAACAACAGCCAACATGATAAACCAGTCACCATGATACACTAGCCAACATGACAAGCCAGTCATCATGATACACCAGCTAACATGACAAGCCAGTCACCATGATACACCAGCCAACATGATAAACCAGCCAGCATGATACACCAGCCAACATGATAAACCAGCCAACAAGATAAACCAGCCAACATGATAAACCAGCCAACATGACAAGCCAGTCACCATGATACACCAGCCAACATGACAAGCCAGTCACCATGATACACCAGCCCACATGACAAGCCAGTCACCATAATACACCAGCCAACATGACCAGCCAGTCAACATGATACACCAGCCAACATGATACAACAGCCAACATGATAAACCAACCAATATGATAAACCAGCCAACATGATAAACCAGTCAACATGATAAAACAGCCAACATTATAAACCAGCCACCATGATACACCAGCCAACATGACAAGCCAGTCACCATGATACACCAGCCAACATGACAAGCCAGTCACCATGATACACCAGCCAACATGACAAGCCAGTCACCATGATTCACCAGCCAACATGACAAGCCAGTCACCATGATTCACCAGCCAACATGACAAGCCAGTCACCATGATTCACCAGCCAACATGACCAGCCAGTCAACATGACCAGCCAGTCAACATGATACACTAGCATAAATCAAACCAGCAACTAACTAAGCTACCAGCCAGTCAACATGACCAGCTAGTCAACATGATTCACCAGCCAACATGATACACCAGCCAACATGATACACCAGCCAACATAATACACCAGTCAACATGACAAGCCAGCCAACATAATACGCTTGCCAACATGATACACCAGCCAACATGATACACCAGCCAACATGATACACCAGCCAACATGCTACACTAGCATAAATCAGACCAGCAACTAAGCTACCAGCCAGGCAATCAGCAATTATGCGCACTAAGAAGCTAACCAACTAGCCACTAAGCCAACTCAGAAGTCATCTCGCCAACCAAGCAATAGTTAGTTAATCGACAGATTATTCTCAGTGTACCTCGGACAAGTCCATTAGCGATCGGATCCCATCTTCGGTATATCTCTCAGCGTGTGACGGCTGATAACGCATATTCTTTGTTGGTTTACTATTCTTCTTTGGCTACCTGTATAGTGTTCATGTTCGGAGACTCCTGTTTTTACCAAGAAGATCTTGTAGTCTTTTTAGTGTTACCGGTTCAGCGTCGCCGCCCATTTCATCTCCTCGTCCTGTCTTCTTGAGAGCATTAGGAATGTCGGCCCGGTCCATTTCTTTTCCTGGACCTACCAAGTTGAGTTAAGTTGATTCAAGAACCGACATCACATTCGGGGCATTTCTAGAAGCAGTCTGTCCCCATCTTCAGCAACCAGTGAAGAGTTCCGATACTAATGGTGCCAGTAGCATTCTGAGTAAACGTCCGTCTTGCCTTTCCTCTGAGTCTCGAGCGTCTGCCAGAACCTCTCGTCACTCCTCGCTGCATCAATCTCACCAGACTGTGGTGATCCATCTGCTTCTCCGAACTGTACACCCTCTCCCACAAGTCACTAACAACGTCTGCTTTATCACGCATTAGTATTCCACAACGTTTTGCAGATCCAGTCGGTCTGTCCAAGATTTTAGCTAACCAATAAAGCAGCAAACAACGCAGTTAGTCAATCAGCCAAATCACCATCCATGCACCTGAAATGCAAACAATCAATAACTCAGCTAACCATTCAAACAACCGACCAGCTGGGCTTACTAGGGGAGGTGAACTGCAACTTCACAAGGCAGAGGTGATCTTTCATCTGTGGGATCAGATAACAGATAAGAAAGAAGATAGTGAAAACTTTTACCTAGAGAGAAAGATGCAGCGGCGAAATGTCTACAGGTTCTAGGTGCCACTGGAGAATCAAGGGAGAAGGCAAGACAAGTAGTTAACCAGATGATGAAGTGCACCATCAGTATTGAGCTTCTTCGCTAAAGAAAGAGAGGCGGGGCTAAAAGGGGCTTATCTCGAACAATGCTTAAACTTGATGAACTCAGCCGACCAAACAACTAAAGAAAAAACCAATTGACTCACACATTATCAACTAAAAGGTTAAAAGGTAAAGTCGGGAAAATGTGAACCAGCGTCACTGCACACGGTTATAAACCATAAGTGCTCTGCCATCAGTATGGACAACTGATAAGAACTGTCCGCCTGTGTCGCCATCCGCACGTAACTCTGTAGCTACAGCGACGTGCCTCCATTTAGCCCCAGAGCTGGTACCCATTTCCTAGAGGCTGGGCGAACCTCGGGAACCGCCCGGTTTCGAACACCGACCATGGGCTGCAGCGAGTCGCAGCTGGATTTGAAAGCGGAACTCTTATCGACTGCGCTAACGCGGCCCATTACCAACTAACCAAACAAACAATATACCAAATAATCAACACAACCACGCTACTCACGAATGTGCCGGTGTCACAAACCTTGTCATATTTCAAATTCCCAGAAACCATATTTGCTCCATCTAGAGACTCTGTACCATTGTTCCCCATCATCTCGTTAATATTTGCCAGGTTGACTTTCGAAAGTATGGACGATTCTGGTTTAGCACTTTTCGGTCTGTAATTTGGGTTCCGCTTGATCTGAGTGAGCTCCAGTGCCCGGGCTATTACAATCAGGTACGATTTGTCTGGAAGAAAAGTCTCAATGTAAGCTTTCTCTTCCGCTTTCGCTATTAAGGAAGGGTAGCTTGAACATTGTCGTAGTTTACGACTAGATTGGCACCTTTTCGTCTTTCATGTCGATAGTTTTATACTGCCAAATGAGGAGGCATAGGACTCACAGCCCATGGCGAAGGCAAGTGTGCCTAGCCCGCGTTAAGAAAAGTCTTCATCAATTATAGCATGGAATTTCAGGTCCATTGTTGTCAACATTTGTGTTAAGTGTGTTTCTTCTCAGACGCTCAACTTTCACCTTTCTGCAGTCATCTCTTCCGTCATTGTAATTCCCTTCCCGATGTGACTCTTCCACAGAGCCTGGTTCATGACACTGTTTTCCTTCGAGTCCACCCCACAACTGTATTATTCGTGTCTTACTTGCACACATTTTTATATCGTAGTGGAGGTGGCTCTCGAATCATCATGTAGCAGGTTCTTTGCAGAACGTTGCTCTCATGACGGACTGTCTGAAAGAAACTCGGTCTCTCGCCAGCTCTCCCGCCTCATATACTTTCGTACTCAAGGAGTCACTTATATCCTGTGCCCATCTTCGTGTTAATCGGCCGATGCCCCTCTTTCCTGGTACCATGCATTTTGCTATAATTTTGTCCAGTCCGTCGTGGCGCTTGATATGACCAAAATATTTCAGCTTCCGAGACAAGATACTGTTTATTAGCCAATCTTCCTTGATGTCAGAACTTTCAAGATTTCAGTATTTCTCCTCTTCTTTGTCCAAGATATTCTGATAATCTTTCTATAGCATTTCAGCTCAAAAGCTGAAAGCACTCGAATAGGCTGTTATATATGTGTCTTTCTGTCCAGCACATCGGATTTCTGATTGTACATTACATACAAATGAAGCAAATTATAAAGTTTGCCCAATTAGAGTGAATGCAATATGATGTCGTGACATACAAGGCAAAAAAAAAAAAAAAACACACACACACACACAAACCCACACGCACACCCCCACACCCGCACATATCACTCACCCACCCCCCACACAGACACCCCCACACCTCTCTCTCTCTCACACACACACAAACACTCACACAGAGAAGAAGGAGCCAGCGCTCAAGAACGGCCAACAACAAGATGACAAGACAACATCATAAAAACTCTACCAACAGTGTGTTGTGTCTATGGTCGAGGCGGCCGGAGGAGCAAGAAGCGAAACTTTGTTTCTCCATGGAAACCCGAGGTGGTAAAAGATTCAAGAAAGAAGAAGAAAAACATCACATTTTAGCAAACCCCTTCTTCTTCTTCTTCTTCTTCTTCTTCTTCTTCTTCTTCTTCTTCTTCTTCTTCTTCTTCTTCTTCTTCTTCTTCTTCTTCTTCTTCTTCTTCTTCTTCTTCTTCTTCTTCTTCTTCTTCTTCTTCTTTTTCTTCTTCTTCTTCTTCTTCTTCTTCTTCTTCTTCTTCTTCTTCTTCTTCTTCTTCTTCTTCTTCTTCTTTTTCTTCTTCTTCTTCTTCTTCTTCTTCTTCTTCTTCTTCTTCTTCTTCTTCTTCTTCTTCTTCTTCTTCTTCTTCTTCTTCTTCTTCTTCTTCTTCTTCTTCTTCTTCTTCTTCTTCTTCTTCTTCTTCTTCTTCTTCATTTTATTCTTCTGTATTTTCTTTTTCATCTTTTTTTTCTTCTTCCTCATCATCCCTCTACTCCTCTTCTCCTTCTTGTACCCCAGATCTCCTCCTCATCCTCCTGTAATAAACAACTGCTGTTACAGTTTGTATGCAACGAATCTGGATGGAGCACGGGAAGCTCCCCAAAATACACAATCAAGTGATTATTATGGCCGTATTGGGAGCTTAGGATTGAGAAAGTTACTTCTTGGGATCAGCTAGACTGCAATCACCTCTGTATTCGGCATCACTTACCAATGAAGATCACCTCATGGGTCTCGTGTGGAACTGCCCACATACGTTCTACATCCGTTAAAGTCATCGGTGGTGGCACTCTGCGCTGTTTACAAAAACATAAAAAAATTCAAGTAAAAGACGACTTTTACGCCAGTGGCACAACATGCATTCCAATCAAAAATGACCCCACGAGACGACAGCCATTCACTGCATATTGCTCCACTATTGACTGTGAAGCACATATTTTTTAATGACGTCATGTATTTCGTTCTCACAATTTGTCCTGTATACAGTGTAGTAAGACTTTACAAACGCCCTGTAGATCTAATATGTATGACTATTAAAAATAAAAGGTGTGTGATCTACCGGATGCTAAAATAATTTGGTCATATCAATGCGGATTGAACAAAAAATTATAACTCAAGCCATAGTACCAGGATGTAGGGGCAGGGGCAGAGTAGCACGAAGATGGACACAGGATATAAGAAACTCCTTAAATATGAAAGGACACGACGCGGAAGAGCTGGTGAGAGACCGTTTTACTTTTAGTCAGACCATGATGAAAGGATCTGCAAAAGACCTGCTACATGATGGTGATGTGATCCATGACAGACGTATGCAAAAAATAAGGGTGTGTGTTGGGGGGGGGGGGGGGGAGGTGGTTAGGTTGTGTTTGGGTGGTTCGCAGGCAGTAAGGAGTTTCGTATCTTGTAACCCAACAAGCTGTTATGAAGCCTTCCTACGTTAAAGTTTTACTTTAGCTGTTTCTTCCACGTCACTCTGTTCTTTTATATTGGGACTCGTTCAGTTGAGACATTTAGTATTTTAATGCAACAACTAAAGTAAAAGCTATGCTGATTTCCCCACGCCCCGCCTATATATACACTAACTCACTACTGATTTGTAGTTCCTAAATCTGTCACCTTGGCACAAGGGTACGGGTGTGTTCCGCAATACCGTTAATTTTGCGTGTTGTATATTTTAGCACGCCAGCTCTTTTAACACTCTAAAAAAAATGGAGAAACTGGGCCTGACACAACTCCTCTAGAGAGTGCTACAACCTATGTCACAGGCATTCTCTTTCTCGGAATGAAAACGTAAATGCAAGGCATCACAGGAAGCAAGCAACAAAGCGGGACACACCCGTAACCTTCAGGAAAGTCGACCAGCCCAACAAACTTGTGAATGAAAAGCACCTACTCTATTTCGGGAGATTAACATGAACCTAACCCAGTTTAGATATAACCTGCATGCGCACCGTGACGCAGAGTCTACTGCGGTGTGGGAGGCCTCGGTCCCTTTATAACTTTCAGGCCCAGGGTAGGCAGGGGGAGTTGGTTCCAGGTGTTTAGACATTGTGGATTTGTGAAATGAAAATGCATTGATTCACTCACTCACTTACTCACTCATTCATTCATTCATTCATTCATTCATTCATTCATTCATTCATTCATTCATTCATTCATTCATTCATTCATTCATTCATTCATTCATTCATTCGTTCGTTCACTTATTCATTCATTTGATTTTTCACCCACGCATTCATTCACTCATTCATTCGTTCACTCCTTCATTTATTTATTTATTTATTCATTCATTCATTCGTGCGTTCATTTATTTATTAATTCATCCATTCACTCATTCACATATTCATTTATTTACTAATTTACTCACTTATTCATTCATTCGTTCGTGAAATCATCCATTCATTCATTTATTCATTTGTTCATTCATTCATTCATTCATTCATTCATTTATTCATTCAATCATTCATTCATTCATTCGTTCGTTCGTTCGTTCGTTCGTTCCTTCACTCATTCATTCATCCATTCTGTTATGCTATTATATGTCATATTCGGATCGCAGTCTATTCCTCTTTTCCGTTATCTCCTGCGCAATCAATTCAAAATCATGGATCGAATCCCGTACAACCGCTTTAGCCCTGTCATCAATGGGTTTCCTTAGGGTGTTAGTCCCTTTATTTCCTATTTTAATGCCTGTTTGGTGATTCTCTGCTGGTTTCTTGCCAGGATGTGTCCAGTGTAGCGTCATTTTCTATGTCTTATAACTGGTGATACCAGTGGCTGTCCAGACTCAGGATGTGTCCAATGTAGCGCCAACTTCTCTGTCTTATACCAGATGATACTAGCGGCTGTCGAGACTCAGGGTGTGTCCAATGTAGCGCCAACTTCTCTGTCTTATACCAGATGATACTAGTGCTTTCCCAGATATTTTTCTTATTTTTTCACTCTTTTTGAATTCATCCCATTTTACCTTCATCGTTTTCCACAGACATTTCTTTTTGAATTCATTTAACTTTCGTTCCATCTCTTTGGTGGTTCTCTTACTGGCATTTGTTACAATGAAATAACTTCAGATTTCAAAATAGGTAACTTGGTTTTAAACCTAAACAGTTTAGAATTCCATAATTTGTTGAAGCTTTTAAAAAACCGCCGACGCCTTGATAAAAAATATTATTGTCAATATTACTATCAAGTGTTGATTAGCTAATAAATAAGTATTTTCCAAATAATTGAAATGTATGCAAACAAAAGCTTAGGGAAAAAAGAACGTTTATTTGTGGGAGCGGGTTCCACAACAACGAACAATTGGGGAGGGGGCGGAGGGAGGTGCATTAACACTGTTAACAGTGGGAGAATGTGACAATATCAAAATCTAGCTTACGTAATAATATCTGGGTGATGAGATGGTGGGGAAAGCCGTCTGTTTACCCATCACACGTCAGTTGAGAGTTAATACTATCAGGTAGATTGTGGGGTGAACATATTGCTCCAAATTCATTAGGAAGACATCAATTCGTTTGGTCATATCGTCAGATTGCAGCCACGACAACTATTAGTACAGGCGCTACACCAACAAATAATTAATTTAAGAGCGAGAGGACGGAGGATAAGATATAGATTGAGGGCATTAAAGACAATCTTCAGTGTCATTTTAAAACAGGACATACCACTAACATCTTAATCTGTCAACGGGACATCCCAATAAAATCTAGGGTTGAAAACGGGACGATAAGAAGACAGATTGAGGACATTAAAGACAATTTTCAGAGTCTTTTGGAAACGGGATATCCCACTAATATCTTGAGCTGAAAACGGGACATCTAACTAATATCTTGAATTGAAAATGGGAATCCTAATAATATTCTGCGCTGAAGATAGCAAATCAGTTTAACCCCCCCCCCCCTTTCTCCCCACCTTTATATAATGTATTCTTGTTATTCATAAATAAACTAATGCATTTTAAGAACATGTTATATAAATCTGTGAATTGTATGAGCCATACTAATTAATTAATTTTAAAACATTTTAACTTCAGTTGGATTGAATGCGTTGCATCTATTGGTTCTACTAATATGATGTATACATCTATATATTTTCTTTTTTCAGTTTGTGTATGTGTATAAATCAATAAATTTATGTTTTAGACTGCTGGCACCTTTCCGTCTTCCCTGGAGATAGTGTTATATTGTGTTATGGAAAGGCATTGGACTCACAAAAAGGTTTCACTTCGGGGATGCTGATTGAAGGTGACGACTTTTTTCCAACAATGCATCGAAATGAAAACGGGACATATTGTTATCTCATGTATCATGCACTGGACCACACACACGGTGTCTCTTAATTCTACAACGCTTAACGGCACAATTGGAAGTTGCTGATGGCGAGTGTGACAAGCGAGACACGCCCGCGTTCAGAAAAAGCCTTCCACATTTTTAGCACGGGATTTCCTGACCGCTGTTGCCATCGTTGTGTTTAGTGCATCTGTTCTCAGACGATCAGCTCTCAGCCTTTCTGTGAATCTTTCTATGTTTAAATAAACTGTATGTTTTATCATCATCATCATCATCATCCTGTAGCAGGTCATTTGCAGAAGTCGCTCTCATCACGGTCTGCATGAAAGAAACTTGGTCTCTCGCCAGTTCTCCCGCCTCATGCACTTTCACACTCAAGGAGTCACTTATATCCTGTGCCCATCGTCGTGTCAGTTGGCTCCTGCCCCTCTTTCCTGGTACCATGCCTTCTGCTATAATTTTTTCCAATCCGTCGTGGCGCTTGAAATGACCAAAATATTTCAGCTTTCGAGAAAGGATACTGTTTGTTAGCCAATCTTCCTTGTAGTTCAGATCTTTTTAAGATGTCAGTATTTCTCATCTTCTTTTATGTTTTATACTGGAAATTATTCCCATATTTTTACAATATGGGACATTTGAAGTGTTTTGGGTGTATCCAAGGGACGGCCGGGACACACCGACAAAACGGGACAATCCCCGTGAAAGCCGGACACATCGGTGGCCTGGTCACCCACTAGCTCGCCGGTAGACAACTTTGTATCCAGTAGGGATAATATTTGAGTCTGTCTCCCTTAATCGCATCAACACTTCAAGAGCCAATTTTTAGCACTTTTACTGGCGTGCAATGCTAAACTATTATATATTGCGCGAAAAACCTAGTCATAATTATAATCTAAAGCTCCCACTTCGGGTATGCTGGTTGAAAGTGACGACTTGTTTCCATCGTAGCACTGAAGCGAAAAGGGGACGTATGGTTATCTTATCTACTATCTCCCCACCCCCTTGTGGGATGCAATTTTTAGTTATTTTAAAGCCCTACCTGGCTTTTGCCGGAGGCCCTAAATACAGATGTGTCCGTGGCTTAGGCGTTGCGAGTCCGACGCGTAATCCAACGTACCGCGATTGAAACTCACTTCTGGCTGCGTGGATTTTTATCATGGTATGGGGCGTCGCAGGTTGACTCAGCCTAAAATGGGTACCAGGATGGCTCTCCTGGGGAAGTGAAGACGGCCTGCGTAATGCTGACCACATTACCTATCCAGTGCCGATTGGTCTGTAAAAATATGGGGCGCTCTTACCATATACCCGATGCGCCTAAGGCGTGAAAAGGGATCTCCCCCCCCCTCCCTAAATATATCCGGGCCTGAAATATGGCCTAATGTCTGAACGGGGTTTCCGGGACCTCTCCAAGGGTGATCTTCATCCGCATGGTGGCACTTTGTGTCACTGGGTGTTTATAGCTTGTGTGAGGTACTGGTGGGGTACAACTTACATACATACATACATCTAATATACCATGCAATTGACCACATACTGTGTATCTCACTCTACAACGCTTAACGGTGGAAATGGAGGTTGCTGATGATGACGACGATGATAACGAAGATGATGATGACTCACAGGAACAACGAAGGTGTCCAGCAGCAGCCGGAACTTCCTGAGCCCAGCATAACTGGACAGCTCTAGCTGGATCGTTGTGGTCGTGTCCTCATGCTCCGCCTGGAACAGCTCAATGACAAAACTCTGGGGAGCCCACAAGGTTCGTGTGATGACGTAATCTGTATAGATGATCCAGATAAGATTTTATGTCAATTTAATCACAGACAAAAACTGACTGTCATTCAAATAATATTAATAATAATAGTGAAGACGCTGAAACTGTTACAAACTTTAAATATAAACGATCAATAAAAACAGTGAAAAGAGTAATGAAGACGTATTGAAAGAAACTGACGCACGAGGAGAACTGATTGCCCACATCAGAAAGAGTCTGCATTCTTCGGTGATGTCATAAGAAGGGGAAAACTAGACTACATCGTGACGGTAGGAAAGGTGGAGGGGAGGAGAGGCAGAGGGAGACCCAGAGAAAAGATGCTGGACAGTTTGACGTCATGGCATGGAGGATCGTCTGTGTCAGAGTTGACTGAAAGTACACGAGACAGAAGGTTGTGACCAGACATGGCTACCATCGCCACACAGCATAGTCTTTCAGAAGACATAGATATTAAACAGCAATGAAGACTGTTCAACAGATTTCGCAAGAAAGATAAACATGGCAATTCAAAGATTGAAGAGCTTTAAATGGCGGCTAAGCACAGCAAGTATATCACAGTTAAAATGTTGAGAGCGTCAATCAAATGTCAGACGTGGACTGTCTCGCAGTGCTTAAGGGAGAAAATAGGGGCTTTGAGCTGAAATGCTATAGAAAGATCCTCAGAATACCATGAAAAAAGAAGAAGACAATAAATACTGACATGCTAAAAGATCTGACACATCAAAGAAGATTGGCTAATAAATAGTATCTTTTCTCGGTAGCTGAAATATTTTGACCGAATCAAGCGCCACAGACAGGAGGGGCAGGGGTCGACTAACACGAAGATCAGATTGGCACAGGCTATAAGTAACACTTCAAATGTGAAAGTGCACGAGGCAGGCGAAAGTTCCCATTTGCAATTATAATTGTTAAAATAAACTGTGGCTGAACACGTATTTAAAATCTGTACATATTATGTCATTAAAAAAAAACGTCACAACTCCTGAATGGGAAACATGTGGATTTAAGGAAACGAAGAGGTCCAGATGAAACCCAAAACGAACGTTCACAAGTAGCCAAAAGCGCTCATCTTATGTCATCCATGATATTTAATCAATTATACATGATAGATGCCTTCTGATGCTACATCATTCAAGGCATAAACCAAAAGAGGAGAGGGACGTAGAGCAAGAGGTAGATAAGGACAAGTGGAAGGATAACATCAGAGAAACTCTACAGTACCAAGATGTGTCTTTGGTCGAAGCAGCCAGAAAAGCACGAAGCAGGACTTTCTATCTCTCTCGACACCCGAAGCGGTAAAGGAGGACGTAAAGAAGGAGAAGATACATGATAGGCAGCAGTGGAAGAGTAAAATGACAGCACTGTGTCACGTATTAACCGGCATTACAGGAGGAACAAGAGGGGGATGAAGACGACGACAACGACCGCGACGAAATCGGTACAGTTTGCGACGCATGCTGATTCATCAACATCATGGAGCAGATTCCTTGCAGAACGTCGCTCTCATCACGGTCTTCCTGAAAGAAACTCTGTCTCTGGCCAGCTGTTCCGCTGCACTAATCACAGATGTGATGTGTGCTTTCTCTACACCAATGGCTTTCAACATTTCTAATGCCGCGACCCTTTAAGACAGTTCCCTTGTGTTGTGGTGACCATTAAACGATTATTTTTCTTTATAACTTCAAAGAATTATGTGTTTTCCGATTGTCTTAGGCGACCCCTGCGAAAGGATCGTTCGACCTCCAAAAAAAGGGGTCGTGATTGGCAGCTTGAGAACCGCTGCTCTACACTGCAACACGCATGTACTCAAAAGTAGCTGACATTGCTAGTGGTTTGGCGGATGAATTTCAGGCAGGAGGTGGACAAGTGAAAGGTAGGTGGGAAACTGACAGGGGATGGGTAGACATGTCAGTAAAAGATCGTGCAAGGAAGGTTGTTGAACGGACAGGTTAATAATTAGTGGTGCGCAAAGATGAGTAGTGGGTGGGATATGGAAAGTGGAGGCGGACGGATGGGTGGTAGTTGTGAACTTGAACAACAGAGGAGCACGAGCCGGTAAAAAGTAAGTTCTTCCCGGACATATGAAGAGTATGTGGTGCATTGGCAGATGACACTGTCGGCAGTAGGAGTAATAAACATTAGATTTGTGGTGCAGGGCTGAAAGGCATGTCTCACCCATACTGGCGATTTATTTAAAGAAAAAAAAATTACCAGGCTTCACCCCTTCACTGATTTGAAAAGAAAAAGAAAAATAACAGAGCTCTACTTCTCTTCGGTGCATGTCAACGGTGCGGCGGCCATCGTTAAACTGCCATTTTGTCTGCATGGTGATGCCACATGCTCAACGTTTTTTGACATTCTCAAATCCCATACTGACCTCGTTACAAGACAATGGCATGTTATATACAGACAAAGCGATTTTAGAACAATCTGTAGAGAGAAAAACTCACTTACCTTTCATGTAATGTTTTTTATTCGTCGATGTACTCATCGTTGAAGAACTGTAAACACATTTTAAAATGTATTTGTGATTGTCACTGCGGTGAACATCTTCTTCTTCTGTATTCTCCCCGCTAAAGATGATTTGCATAGTGTGTTGTGGTTGACAGCTAGGGTGAGAATATGTGCTTCTCGGCTCAGTACACATTTCGGCAAAAAAAACGAATTAATCGCCTTTTACGACATGCTTTGTCAGGGCACAATGCGTCTGAGCCTGCTTCTACCCCACTGGGACCTCAGGATCATTTCGGAAAATGATTTAAATAAAAATTTAAGGTCTAATAAAGTTAACACTTTATTTAATTTGATATTCAAACTGTTTAACTTTTATTAAACAAATTATATAATATGTACTCTTTATTTGTCAGCTGAGAAATGAAAGAGCATTTTAGAGAGCTGTACAAGTTCTCAAAGCATTTGGTTGTGTGACTGATTGCCCCCATCATAAGGGGACAATCTGCATGTTTTGGTCATGCCAAGACCAGGATAAAACTGGAGTACACTGTGAGGGGGCCGGGAAGAAGGAGATTAAAGGCACAAAGAGGGAGAGTAAACGGAAGTCGAGAATAAGATGCTGAATAGTTTGACGTCATAGCATAAAAGATCATGTGTGTCTGGACTGACAGAAAGTGCACGAGACCAAAGGTTGTCGATAGACATGACTACCAACGGCATACGGCATGGACTAGAACAGTGTTTCGCAAACTTTTTATGGATAATCGCCCCATTTTCAGTGAACAATAAATCTCCCTCGCCCTCTAACCCACTCTGCCCACCCCATGTTCAGAAGATCGAACTCATCATCAAGTGCCAAGCTGAAAAGCAAAGATGGTCATCATTCACTATCCTATACCATCAGGAGAACCACGGATCGGGTGGTGCACTTAGCATGTAGCCATGCCATCGAGGTATTTATTTCTTCGCTTTTTCCCCTGTCCACTTTGTGTTAGCTTTTTCAGTTGTCACTAAGTTCTGGAATCCATTCCTCGCATTGAAATAAAACCTTCTGTGATCAAACAAACAAAGTGATGTAATGGCATTTTTGTTTATGTCGTCTTCTTTGCGGTTGGTTCTGCAACGTCCTGTAAAGGATACGCAACTAACATAAAATACTGACCATATTGTTAAATTTGTTCCGCATATCGTCGTATTCGATGCTTCCATCTCTGGCGTACAATTCCACTCATGCAAGTAGCCATTGTTGCAGGTTACATACTTTGTGCAGTCGCTACAGTGGCTGTACGCGCCATCTTTCAGCGGGACATGGTGCACATCAGTACAAGCATATACACACTGGCCATCTATGCCCGCTGGGAGAGAACAAGTGAAGAAACTGTACGCTATAGTACGGTTCTTAAATTCGTGCATTTTTTTTTTTTTTCAATGTTATCTCAGTAATTGATTATCATATGAATGTAATGAATTTGCGTGGTTTATTTTCATCTCGACTAAAAATGTTTTATGCAAAAATAACATTTAGACTGACAGTTGCATCAAAACAAACGTTTACTTTATTATTTTCACCAACTGTATAATTTTTTAGTTAGTCCGATGTAAAAAAGCCTGACCCTAACCACACAATTTGCTCTCTTAAAATTGGTGAGGACCTTGGATACGACCCAAGACACTTATTTTGTAGCATGTTGCCAAATTTTTATGGCGACACTTGTGGTCTTATTCAGAATTTACATTTTTAAATAAAGAAACATGTCTGTTAACGGTCAATTGGTTACATTTGAACTTTGTGCTTAAAAGGCAATTAAGCAAAGATCATCGTGTATTTATACACCTTGAATAAGTCAAAGTGCATTTTAATTAGTTGAAGGGAAAAAAATCTGACATAACGCAGAAAATGAAGTAAATAATATATGATTTCATTTATTTATATTCAACTACAGATATATTAAAGTGGGTTTTTTTTTAAACATAGAAATCATTTTGTAAACGCGCTATAGTTTATAAGCCATATATGCTGGCCCTGAAAATGCCGACTGCCACTTTGTTTTGCTGTTCACAGCTAGGCTGTGATATCTACAGCTCTCAGTCGAACACATCCGTATCAGGTGGTCTCCGTGATAGAGTGGTCAAACCGTTTGCCTGGCGCTTTGAAGGTCGTGAATTTGCTTAACTGCTGTGTCGATTGGTTTAGAAAAGGAATAGTTACGGAGACTCCTGAAGACCGTCGTAGGAGCTATGGTGCTCGTGCTGTGTGGGATGAGCTCGATAGGTGGCTAGTCGTTCTGTGGAGAGAAACCGAGCTATTGGATAAACCAGGTGCTATGGTGTTGACCAGTGTGACTTTAGCCTCTAATATCCATTTCAGCAAACCTCTAATTAGTAGCCTTTTACGACATGCTTGTTAGGAGTGAATGGTCTACTTCAGCGCTCCCCCTCCCTCCCCCCCCTCCCTCCACCTTCCCCTCCCCCTTCCTCCTCCCCCTGTCCCGCCCCGCCTCGCCTAATTTTCCAAATTTCGCCCTGTAACGCAAAGGGAGATAATGCTAGTAACTACCTACTCTGGCTTTGAATGAATGAATGAATAAATGACTGAATGAATGAATGAATGAATGAATGGATGAATAAATGAATGAATGGATGAATAAATGAATGAATGAATAAATGAATGAATGAATGAATGAATAAATGAATGAATGAATAAATGAATGAATGAATGAATAAATGAATGAATGAATGAATAAATGAATGAATGAATGAATAAATGAATGAATGAATGAATAAATGAATGAATGAATAAATGAATGAATGAATCAAGAATTAACATCACTGCACTCGGGACATTTTCACGCGTGCTCCCTCTCCTTCTTCAGTTACCAACTAAGAGCTGACACACTGCTATCTGCAACCTGACAACAAAGTTTTTTTTTTCTGAAACCTGATCGGCGTCTGTGGCTTACGCGTTTCGAACGCACTTTGTAATGCTGGGGTGCCGGGTTCGATCCCTGCTGCAGGCCTTGCGCCTTTCGTTGGTTTCAAAGGTGGTATCTAAAAACGACCGTTTAGGTGCAATGACAAACTACTCGACGTAAATTTGCCTAGAAAAAGCACAACAGCCATACAAAGGCTGGGGTTGGTTCTGCAACGTCCTGTAAAGGATACTTTCTGACACCTGCTACTCTGGTTTTGACAATACATTATTATTCTAGGTTTTGGAACCTGATGCAGAGATCTACACTTATCTTTCGCAGCCATACACAGTGTTGTTGTGGTTGTTATTGTTGTTTTTCGAGGGAGCAACGTTAGCGTAGTCGATAGGAGGCTCGCTTTCACATCCAGCTGCGACTCGCTGCAACCACGACCAGAGTTCGAAACCGGGCGGTTCTCGGGGTTGACTCAGCCTCTAGGAAATTGGTACCAGAATTAACACTCTGGGGTAAATAGGGGCAACGTCGCTGTAGCTACAGAGTCATGTGCGGACGGCGACACAGGCGGACAGTTTGTCATCAACTGTCCGTACTAGTGGCAGAGCACTTATGGTTTATAACCGTGTGCCATGACGCTGGTTCACATCTCCCGACTTTACCTTTACCTTTTTATTGCGTATCTTTACAGGACGTTACAGAAACAACCCTAACATTTGTGGGCTGTTGAGCTTTTACTAGGCAAATGTTACGTTCAGTAGTTTGTCATTGCTTACTAAAAGGTCAGCTCTGGGTGCCACCGTCAAAACCAACACAGCTGTGATCAAAGCCGGCACCGCCACAGACGCCGACCGATGTATAGTACGACATGGTTAACACGAATTCGCTTAAAACGAACACAAACAAGATTTTGGTCCCTGTAGGGATGTGAATGTTTTGTTACAATGTAATAACCCAAGGTTATTCAATGAGTATGATCCGGAGGGTTCAGGCAGGTTCAGTGCGAAGACAATGGCTTGAATCATTACAGAAGTCCACTGTCCGTGGAGTCACCTTTATTTTTGTTCCGGGATACGCAGGCGTCGATGGAAATGAAAGAGCTGACAGGTTGGCTGGATCCGCTATCACTACCGACGGTCAGCCTATGGATCATGCTGATATTATCAATGCCCTCAGAGAAATGGGAAGGATAGACGACTTTGGTGGCAGTGAATGCACATCACTCGCCAGAATGGCAGACTTGGAAATTAAGATCGGCACAGCAAAAAACGAGACGCACACCAGCTACGCCAGAAGACTTGTTAATCAACATAGAACTGGTACTATTAGCCATCGGACGTTGAGGTTCATACTGAGGGGAGGATCTGAGCACCTATGGACATGTCCGGAGTGCAATGAGGATAACCCAACTAACTAACTAACCCAAGGTTACATGAATTATTTTAACATTTTAAGTCGTCTGGAATTCGTGATAACTGGGTTTTACTGTAGGTAACGAGTACCAACTGCCACAGAAAGCAACGCTGAAAAAAATGAACACAGAGCAAGGGGAAGTCTACGCAAGATATGGAGCGACATCATTAGGAGCACCTAACAGAAATTAACACCAAAATGTACAATGCATTGGAAAAAGCACGCAAATGATTCTTATGCCCCCCCCCCACACACACACACACACACCTCGCTGACGTAAATGGCGGAAGAGAAGAAGAAGAAGAACCAGAAAGAACAAAACTAACAAATACGTCCGAAACAAACTGCACACATTTGCAGGACATCGGGAGCCTCTCTAAATTTGAAATTTATAAGATAACCAAGTAAGATAGCCAAGGAACCTTCCTTCATATAGCAGGCCTCCAAGCGGCTGAAAACAAATCACATCTGGAATGTTTGTTGGACAACTGGAATTCGAATGTTGTCTTTTGTTAAGGCGCGCATTGCTTTGTATCACTGAAAAACTAAATATGTATCAAAACACATTAACTCATTATCCGTATCATTTCTTCAAGACAGAAATCTTAACTGTCTGATTGTTACTTACATTTTCTATAGAACAAAGAAGGACAAACTAGAACTTACACGATGCTGGCTTCTGTATTTTACGAAAAGAATCTGTTGAAGACATGATAAGAGAAAAGTTTTTTTGTAATATACAAACACTTCTTGTAGTAACAGACGGTTTCGTTTATATTTATACAAATGCGACTGAAGGTGAGGGAGAATATTCAATTCCATAAAACACACACTTTTCAATGAATGAATAAGTGATTAGTGAAAACTATCATCACAGCACTCTGGACAACTCCATAGGTGCTCTGATCTCCTCCTCAGTAGCTTCACAAGACTCGGTTTAGACTCCATGAACATGCTCTCCTAAAATCGCTACAGGTTGTCTACGCTCCGAATGGGTAGAAGGCATTCCAAAGTCGCAGTTAATCACAATCAACTAGATCTACCCATCTGGGCACGCAGGAGAAAATGGCAATGACAGAGCTGATCAGCAGGCAAGTAATGTACAAATGAAAACGGGAAAAAGCACGGACAGAGCAGATGTCAACAACGCTGTACGGACTAGGTTTGGGGATAACGGCGAATCTCTTACGCTAACACGTATTATCTCTAACAATACATAAATACCGATATAAGAAAACAGTATTATCTCCCACTAGACATAAGTACTAAATAAAGGACACTGTATTATCTCCCACTACGTCCGGCTCTCTAGTGTAGTTGGCTAAACCGGATTGCGCGGAGAGCGGGTGAGGATCTCCTTGTGGTTCAGGTTCAATCCCGGGTGTAGGCAGAAAAGCCCCATTTTCTCCCAGATTTACGGTATTTACAATGGAATCAAGGCCGAAAGGTTGCGATATCCATAATACCGAGCCTAAGGGTTAACAACTCATGGCTTCTGGATACTAAAACAAACAAACATCTCCCACTACATATAAATACTGACTAAAGGACAAGTATTATCTCTCACTACAGATAATACTGACTAAAGGACAATTTATTTTACCACACTACACATAAATACTGACTAAAAGACACTGTTTTATCTCGCACTACACATACATACTGACTAACAGACACTGTATTATCTCGCACTACACATAAATACTGACTAACAGACAGTGTATTATCTTAGAGTACACACAAATACTGACTAAAAGACACTATAGTATATCGCATGACACATAATTACTGACTAAAGGACAATTTATTATCACCCACTACACATAAATACTGACTAAATGACACTGTATTATCTACCACTACACAAAAATACTGACTAAAAGACACTGTTTTGTTTCGCACTACACATAAATACTGACTAATAGAAACTGTATTATTTCAGAGTACACACAAATACTTACTACAAGACACTGTATTATCTCCCACTGCACATAAATAATGACTAAAGGAAACTATAT